ATTCACACACACACACGCACGCACACATACACGCACGCGCGCGCACACACACACACACACACACACACACACACACACACAGACATGCACACACATGCGTACGCAAGCATACGTGCACACCCATATACACGTACACTCTTCCCTCACACATCCTCTCTTTCACATACATCTGTGCACATATCCATAATAATATAATAGTATACTTGCCCCCACAAACAGGCTCACAGTTACATGCATATTATAAATGGACAATGATATATAAACAATAATCGTGTTGAGCTAGATTCGTACTCAGTATTCTAATTGCAACTTTATATATTTATTTATGCCACGTTTGCTAAGGTAATCCAAATTTTCCCGCGAGGATTAAGTAACGTGCAATTCATTTTGGTTTACTTATTTATTTATCGTTTTTTTAAACAATTATATTCTGATGCATGCTTTAAGTTCATATGAATATTTATAACAAGATGATTAAGACTATGAAGCTGATCAGTGGCGTTCAAAGATAAACGTATTATTATATGTCGTATCGTGGCAATGTCTTGTGGACGACAAAGTAATGAAATTGAAGAAACTGAGAAACTAGCTTTTTCCTGCTCATTTGGCAGTGCCTGGTTCCTCCATGTCGTAGCACAAATAGAAAACGATTCAATGGATCAACTCTTGAAAGATGTGTTCTGAATGGTGTGCCATCGTTTGATAAAGACAATAGATAATTATGTTTGATAGAAAAAAAGGAACAAACCTCACAAAAGCACCCGCCAATCACCCTCTATTTGTGAGAAGGCGATATACCTATAATGACGGAATTTGAGGAACACTGCGGTAAATTTTGAAATGGAATAGAACAATTGGAGGAAGATAGATGATGGCTCAGACCAGTGTGAATAAACTTGAAAATTTAAGGCGCAATTTGGCAAGAATGACCAGCTAGCAGGTGAACAGGAAGCACAAACTGGACAGTAGGTACCACAGAAATGGGTTTGAGAGGAAATGCTTCGAGGGCTTCCTACTTTAGTCGATTGGTAATGACAATTTAAACTTGACATCGAAAATATGTGAGTTCGATTTTGACGTCATTATGTAGGATAGGAAATGTGTATACGAAATTACATTCACCCTAGTTTCCCCAGGGGTGAATAATCGTGTTGATGATGATGATGATGGTAATGATGATGATGATGATGATGATGATGATGATGATGATGATGATGATGATGATTTGAGCATTTAAAAGCTTCATTTCTGTTTGTGGGTGCGCGCAGCTTAAGACTTCTCTCTTCGGTTCTTTTTACTCGGGAGGTTGTGTAAAGGTGCATTTACTTGAAAATCGACATGAGCAAACTATTGGAATGGCAGAGGTATGGCGTCTAAGAGTCAGCAGCACTATTGGAAGTAACATAGTGTATCTCCGACCTGGGCAATACAGCCCCAGGTCCGGATGGCATCCACAACCAGATCATTAGACACTTACCCACAGAAACACTTACCCACAGAAACACTTACACACCTACTAGACATATACAACGACAAGTGACGGTCACATTCCTTTCCGGAGTCTTGGCGTCTCGCCACTGTCATCCCAATACCCAAACCAAACAAAGACCATACACACCCACCCAATTACAGACCAATAGCACTAACG